GTATCACGTGTAGTGATCACCATTGTTAGCACTACTAATGGTGAATCACCGAAAGGTGTTGTTTTGGATATTCAAGCTTGTACGGAAGCGACAACAGGTTCGTATTCAAGTCTTTGTTGCAGTTTTGAGAAAAAAGGACTGCATCTTGCTTTCCTCTGCATGTTTTAGAAACAACGAATGTCACTCCGGTATCAACTGGTTTCACATCGGGCTCAAGAGGAACAGGAACAGGAACAGGAACAGGAACCAGTACACGAGTCGGAATAACTGAGTCAACGCAAACTCCAGGAACAACTACGAAGAGATGCAAAGAAATGCAAGCGGTTGATGAAGCTGTTAGCAAGAACATTATTGTGACACCGAACCCATTGCCGATAGGTGAAAACATCAAATTTCAACCAACATCTCAACAAGGTGTTTCTTTCGGCGAAAATGATCGCACACCGACGATTACTGTCAACTTTGGGAAACCTGCTGAGGTTCAGTCAGTCACACTTCCACGTGATCGAACACCCAATGGAAATGTTGCACAATTTGAAGTCACCTTCTATTCACCTCATGGACACAAAATCAACCACAAACCAATCTTAAGTAGTTCAAGTCCAAACGAAAACAAGAAGAAGCCAGCTGAACTCGATTCATCACAAATACCATCAAATACACGTGTATCACGTGTAGTGATCACCATTGTTAGCACTACTAATGGTGAATCACCGAAAGGTGTTGTTTTGGATATTCAAGCTTGTACGGAAGCGACAACAGGTTCGTATTCAAGTCTTTGTTGCAGTTTTGAGAAAAAAGGACTGCATCTTGCTTTCCTCTGCATGTTTTAGAAACAACGAATGTCACTCCGGTATCAACTGGTTTCACATCGGGCTCAAGAGGAACAGGAACAGGAACAGGAACAGGAACAGGAACCAGTACACGAGTCGGAATAACTGAGTCAACGCAAACTCCAGGAACAACTACGAAGAGATGCAAAGAAATGCAAGCGGTTGATGAAGCTGTTAGCAAGAACATTATTGTGACACCGAACCCATTGCCGATAGGTGAAAACATCAAATTTCAACCAACATCTCAACAAGGTGTTTCTTTCGGCGAAAATGATCGCACACCGACGATTACTGTCAACTTTGGGAAACCTGCTGAGGTTCAGTCAGTCACACTTCCACGTGATCGAACACCCAATGGAAATGTTGCACAATTTGAAGTCACCTTCTATTCACCTCATGGACACAAAATCAACCACAAACCAATCTTAAGTAGTTCAAGTCCAAACGAAAACAAGAAGAAGCCAGCTGAACTCGATTCATCACAAATACCATCAAATACACGTGTATCACGTGTAGTGATCACCATTGTTAGCACTACTAATGGTGAATCACCGAAAGGTGTTGTTTTGGATATTCAAGCTTGTACGGAAGCGACAACAGGTTCGTATTCAAGTCTTTGTTGCAGTTTTGAGAAAAAAGGACTGCATCTTGCTTTCCTCTGCATGTTTTAGAAACAACGAATGTCACTCCGGTATCAACTGGTTTCACATCGGGCTCAAGAGGAACAGGAACAGGAACAGGAACAGGAACCAGTACACGAGTCGGAATAACTGAGTCAACGCAAACTCCAGGAACAACTACGAAGAGATGCAAAGAAATGCAAGCGGTTGATGAAGCTGTTAGCAAGAACATTATTGTGACACCGAACCCATTGCCGATAGGTGAAAACATCAAATTTCAACCAACATCTCAACAAGGTGTTTCTTTCGGCGAAAATGATCGCACAC